CGTAAAGCAACGCCTCGGAGAGTTTCCTGTAGCCCGCCAGACGCCGGAACGTTACCTGATTGTAGTCCACCTAGCCACTCACAATGCTTGATTTCTGCTGTGTCATCTGGCACTCATGTACTCGTACTGTGTGTAAACTTTGGATGCCCAGACTAATTTGCACTACACAACCAGCACTAGAAATGTTGTGATAGGACGTCCTGTCTCATACTGATACCAGCCGTTGCAGCTCCCGTCCGCCCACAGCTCCGATACAGTACAAGCGTATCCTAGCACCGGGTTTGTTTGAAGTTGGAACTCCACTCTGTTGTTGTAGCACTCTGCACTTCAATAGCCTTTTACGCCCACAACTGTCAATTGCAGCGTTGGACTCATTTGCCTCTGCGACACCAACCACGCTCAATGCATTATGCATGGACAGACCTCTGCGAGATATGAGGTGTAGTACGGTGTGGTCTATACCAGACAATGCCCACTTTTTTTCATTGTGGCTGTGTTGTAAACATGCTATACTATCCATCTGAGGTATTTACTCATGTCAATGCAGATGGTGTTTGTGTGTCATGAGGTAGGAATCACTACTCATCACTTAATAGTCTGAAGCTGACACTGCGGTCCATATATATGCAGAAGGAAACTGCAGCACACGCAACCAGTGGTACAGCAGCTACCACACTCGTGTCCGTTTTCATTCCATTTGTGGGATTACTGTAGCTAGAATTATACAAGAAGGAAATAATAATTATCACTAAGTATGGTAGCTAGTATACTTAGTATATAGGGATGACACAGGTTATCAAGCATTATGCCCATACATTTGAGATTCTCATGTTTTTCTTTCAGTTTCATCCGATTCCATTCTGACAATATCTGTCCGATCAGTATATCTAGTGGAAAAGAGCATGTCCCTAAGAAATGGGGTTTGTTTGAATCCTCCCACTATTGGTACTGTGTTTTTTCAAGAAATCGGCAAGCGTAGCCTCAAAACCAGTAAGATACAGAAATGTAACTCTGCACAGAGACTAGAATCCATGACTGGTCATGCAAGCAATGTTGTTTACATGAACAAATAAAAAAAAAGCCATAGGCCATTTTATATGATAAAAAGAAGTTGTAAATAATTTTTAACCCTCGGCGCGCATGCGCAGCGAGGGTTATGTTTGTCCGTCCGTGTGTCTGTCTGTTACTCTCAATCTCACTTCTCGAGTGTCTGTTCGTCTCACAAAGATACGACGTACCTAACGGGCATGAAGGTCAGAAATTGTCGAACAGTTTTCTCTGAAAATGCTCCGTTGCAGAGCTAGAGCGCTTCCGCCATTGTACGGCTAATGCTAGTCGGCCATTTTTATCGCTGCGGAAAATGCGCATGCGCTTATATTTTGAACAGGCTCGGGTCCGCTTGCTCTGTGTAACTTGAAGGCACGAGAAGTCACAACGAAGGGCGTGTATCGACTCCCGCATGCTATCTACTACTGTAGCTAGCCCGTGTCAGATGCTACTAGCGGGAGGCCACGAGTATACTACATACTAATAGCAGCCCAGCCCATCAATTAGCGGTACCGCGCATGCCCAGTTCGCCGAGGGTTTGCACTTTAGTGCTTTTCATTGTGTCTATAACTTGCTTATGGTTGCCTCAAAAAGTGAAACGCGGTTGACAGATGCACCGTGACAAAAGTTCATCATGGATGGTAGCTATAAAAAGCAAGGAGACAAGACAGGGACGACCTAGTGAATGTGATGCAGTAGTACAATGGATGATGGCTAACTGACATCACTTGCTCAAGTTTCCTGCACACAAGCCCTATAATATTGTCGCAACCTTTACTCACTGACATGTAGTCAATAGCGTATGTGAGAACAGTGGTGAAGGGGTTCTTCTTTAGCCATCATTCGTCAAAATAAATGATGCGTGTTCGTGAGTCATGCACCAACTTTCTTGCTACTCAGGTGCATTAATTAAGGACTGGGTACAAGCTCAACGAACCATAAAAAGCTCTGATTTTTCTTATTTTGCAGTGGTACAGTATCCTATGAAAATTAAACAAAGTTTAATATAAAATTCAGCCCAAGAATAAAGGGTGTGGCAATACATAAGCCACGCCCACTTCACGTTTATGGGATATAGCTAATTGAATATAATGCCTTCCGCTACCTAAAATGTGAAAGGCGGTAATGTAGACGTCGTTATAGAAAGCCGGTAACAAACTTCTAGGATAGCTTACATGCTTAACTTCAATCTATCAAATGGTACTGGTGAAAGAGCGTAAGCCTAGCTTTTGATGAGCGAAAAACCATAAAACGGCATTCTACAATTTGCGTATTCACGGCCTTTCCAGGCGAATACCGCCTCCACCATTTGATACAATCAATAAAACATACTTTTCTATCTGAAACTTGCAAACTCGTCCTGGAAAGCTGTGTGCAACCCATCCGCCCAGCATCGGTAGATTGTAACCTGCCGAACGCCATCTTGGTTGCTACATCGCTCGCTTCCGCTCGCGAGCCCTACTCGCGCACCCTCGCGCACTACACGAGCGCCGTAAACAACGTGTGAGCACTCGAGGGGCTACCATGACGCAGCAAATTTTGCTAGCGCGCCAGACATCACGCCATTATTTAATTGCGCGCGGGCGTTTTAGCGGTCCCAGTCCTTAACGAACCTCAGTACGCAGATAGATAACAAAATATACGCTACCGCACGGCCCTGAATACCATGTAACCCGCTAGCTGCATACATTATTAGATCAATTATTGACCACAATCAGTTTTCGGACGAAATAGGCTAGACATACACTGGTAATACCAATATATAGACAGGTACACGTGGGCTAGGTATCCGAGAAATCTCGGTCTTGCCTTACACACAAACGATTTTATGAACGATCGAAGTGAACGTCCGATAACCCCAGAGATCGGGAAAAGTTACCAATTTCCGGACGCTCGCCACCAACACTTTGAGAGAGGACGGAGGAGATTCCAAAGCTAGTGCACGTGTAAAGCTACCCTTCCTCTATAGACACGCCATATCTGTTTCGTCAAAATTCCACGGAAGCAGCTCGCGGTCGAGCCAAGCGCGGGGGTCACGCCCTGACTCGCGACTGCGCACGCTCCCTGTCTCTAGTAGTCACATGTCTTTGTACAGCCGATCGGAGAAGAACATCAGGTAAGTAATCCTTGTTTTCCTGCACGCGAGACTCCGGACTGAAATTTGCAGTGTTTATGTTTTGTTTCTTTATTATTTTCTCATTCAGGTGACTCTGCGCAGGCCTTCTGGCCAAATAGTCGAGTTTTGCTCAGTGTTTTCCGTTGTTTTTGTTCTGTGAGTTATTTTTAAAGCATGCGAGTAAACATTGTGAAATACTAAATCTGGGGTGCATCTATGCACTAAAGGGAGGCAAGATGTGCAGCATCATTATGAGCGACATGATGTGGAGTGGATACATACTTGCGTCTCCAGTTTACCCATGCGAAGCTTTGTAAATAGTAGGTGGATAGCACAAGTAAACTTATTTGTTGTGGATTGCAGTTGTATACAAAATGTTGTGGACTATATGCATAAAATCACTGCCATAGTTTATGGTTCTCTGGAAAATTCACTTGCTGAAGCCTGAAAAATGCACTTGCTGAAGCCTGAAAAATTCACTTGCAGGACAATGTGTGTGGAGTTAGGGGAAATTGGTGTGTAGGGGCATACCTCTGGGTTGTGTGTGATAAGCTTTGTTCTTATCTGCAGTTGCACACCTAATCAAAGATGCTGCAGTACCCAACATTAAAAGATAGGGTCTTTAGAAGCCATAAAAGTATCCACCTAGCATAGCCCCATGTGCCAGTCAAAAAAGCGAATTTTACCGATGAAGAGATAAGTCTCTTCGAAAGGCGGTTTGAGAATGGCTATGACCTGACTGGCGACAAGCGTTACAACCTGTGGCTGTGTCGATACCACCCCGAGTCAAGTCTGCAACAATTGCCATACAATAGCACTGCAGTTAGCAGCTTCCTTAGTTACCCCTCACCACCAGCTTGGGCTGAAACACTGAAGCCAAAGTCTAGTGGAAGAGTGCTAACCAGCACTGAAAACTTAGCTCTGGTGAAAGAAAAAGAGAGGCAGAAGGAAGAGAAGCAAAGAAAGAAGGAGGAGAGGGAAAGAAAAAAGAAGGAGAGAGAAGAAGCTAAATTTAGAGACACCGTGAAAGGCTTGCTGAGTAAGAAAGGCTTCGTTGACAGTTGTTTTAACAGCTTAGTGTGATAGCCCTTCCAGTCACTGGTGCAAATATTAAATTATGTGTATTACACTTGCAGGACAGAAGAAGGCTGGAGTATGTAGAAACAGTTGTAAGCTGGCAGGTACATACAAAAAGCAGATGATTTGGTGTGTGTGTGATACCCACTGTGTATTTTTAGTACCATGAGCCATTTGTGCTGAAGCACACTGCAACATGCACTGATGTGTTTCCAGGATTGATGCATTGCAGACAAAGTACTCCTGTGACAGAGACCTTCCATCTACCACATATATCAACACTTGACTCAGGTACTACATGGCATAGAGAAACATCTTCAGAGTGCCAAATGTTAACCTCTAAACTATTTTCCTGCAGATATTGAAGACAGTGATGGTGACTGGAGGTGTCTGTCAAGGCTATACATGTCCCAGACCAAGGTTATTAAAATATTTTACCAATGTTCAGGACATCCAGGTTTAGTGGATACTATAGATATATTGACACATGTTTTACACATCTATCTATCCCCAACACTAGGAACTAGACTGCAGTCAGTTGCTGCTCTGTCAGACAGCGAATCAGGACAGAAACGTTCAGGACAACGACAGAAACGTTCAGGACGTCCAGGTTTAGAGGATACTCTAGACGTATTGACACATGTGTTACACATCTATCTATCCCCAACACTAGGAACTAGACTGCAGTCAGTTGCTGCTCTGTCAGACAGCGAATCAGGACAGAAACGTTCAGGACAACGACAGAAACGTTCAGGACGTCCAGGTTTAGTGGATACTATAGATATATTGACACATGTGTTACACATCTATCTATCCCCAACACTAGGAACTAGACTGCAGTCAGCAGCTGCTCTGTCAACCGATCAGACGAAACGTCAGGACACGCAGAAACGTTCAGGACGTCCAGGTTTAGTGGATACTATAGATATATTGACACATGTTTTACACATCTATCTATCCCCAACACTAGGAACTAGACTGCAGTCAGTTGCTGCTCTGTCAGACAGCGAATCAGGACAGAAACGTTCAGGACAACGACAGAAACGTTCAGGACGTCCAGGTTTAGTGGATACTATAGATATATTGACACATGTGTTACACATCTATCTATCCCCAACACTAGGAACTAGACTGCAGTCAGCAGCTGCTATGTCAGACAGCGAATCAGGACAGAAACGTTCAGGACGTCCAGGTTTAGAGGATACTCTAGACGTATTGACACATGTTTTACACATCTATCTATCCCCAACACTAGGAACTAGACTGCAGTCAGTTGCTGCTCTGTCAGACAGCGAATCAGGACAGAAACGTTCAGGACAATGACAGAAACGTTCAGGACGTCCAGGTTTAGTGGATACTATAGATATATTGACACATGTGTTACACATCTATCTATCCCCAACACTAGGAACTAGACTGCAGCCAGTTGCTGCTCTGTCAGACAGCGAATCAGGACTGAAACGTTCAGGACAAGGACAAAAATGTTCAGGCTCAGCTCATGGCATAAGAGGTATAAATGTACAATCATTTTGCACCTTTTTAATTAGTTTACCCTACTCTCCTTCAGGGTCAAGTTCTTGCTTTTTGAAAACATGCTAGCACCCTACAGCGTATAGTGGGTGGAATGTGAAACCTGCAACTCCTGGCTCCACTGTATTTGCGTGTCAGTGAAGCCTAGCCAGGCGTCACAACCTACTTTCCACTTCAAGTGTTCATTTCGTATTTACTTCGCAAAGAAGTTTTTGTGGCGCATGCGCGTATGGGCGTTTAACTGCCCATAGTCCGAAAATAGAGGGCGTGACCCCCGCGCTTGGCTAGGTCGTGAGCTGCTTCTGCGGAATTTTGACGAAACAGATATGGCGTGTCTATAGAGGAAGGGTAGCTTTACATGTGCACTAGCTTTGGAATCTCCTCCGTCCTCTCTTTGAGTGTTGTTGGTGGCGAGCGTCCGGAAATTGGTAACTTTTCCCGATCTCTGGGGTTATCGGACGTTCACTTCCATCGTTCATAAAATCGTTTGTGTGTAAGGCAGGACCGAGATTTCTCGGATACCTAGCCCACATGTACCTGTCTATATATTGGTATTACCAGTGTATGTCTAGCTTAATACAGCCGGACCTCTTTCTCCAGACTTCCTTATTTGTAGAGCAGGCAGACCTCACCTGCTTTCAAGATGCATATTGGCTTGCCTATATACTAGCTACTCCATTTCTTCCCACTTTTGTTATTTCAGGTAAAAATTTCAGTAACTAGCCTCTTCTAGGAATGTACTGAATAGCTAGCTAGCTACTAGGCTAAAACGTCCCATGCTACTCCTTTTCCTCCCACTTCTGTTTTTTCAGGTATGCCTGAAAAGGATTGGGTTTTCAGACCTTATCAGTAGCTACTCTCTTTCCTCCTTCTTTCACACTCTAAGAATGGTGTAATATTGATTTTTACTAGGCTAAGTCCCACAGTTGGTTGCTGTCTACTCCATTTCATCCCACTTCTGATAAGCCTTAAACATTGGGTCTCCAGACCTAATCAGTAGCAACTCTCTTCCACCTCCACATAGGAATGGTATGGTATTGATCATGCAAGCCTTGCTTGAGTTCTACTACTTTTCCTCCCACTTGTGTTATTTCAGGTATGCATCAAAAGGGTTTACATACGTTATCAGTAGCTACTCTCTTACCTCCTTCTTTCCTCCTCTAGGAATGGTATTGAATTACTAGGCTAGAGTCCAAGTTTTGTTTGCTGTCTACTCTCTTTCCTCCAACTTCTGTTGTTTTCTGATATGCATTGGGTTTCTTGACCGTACCAGTAGCAAACTGTCTTTCCTCCTCTAGGAATCTTATTGATTTTGCACCTTGGCTTGCTTTCTTCTCCCTTTCCTCCCAATTCTGTTATTTCAGGTATGCATCAAAAGGGTTTACATACGTTATCAGTAGCTACTCTCTTACCTCCTTCTTTCCTCCTCTAGGAATGGTATTGAATTACTAGGCTAGAGTCCCAGTTTTGTTTGCTGTCTACTCTCTTTCCTCCAACTTCTGTTGTTTTCTGATATGCATTGGGTTTCTTGGCCATATCAGTAGCAAACTGTCTTTCCTCATCTAGGAATCTTATTGATTTTGCACCTTGCCTTGCTTTCTTCTCCCTTTCCTCCCAATTCAGATATGCCTCAAAAGGTTGGTTCTGTGACTTATCAGTAGTCAGTAGCTACTCTCTTTCCTCCTCAAGTATATATCCTAGCGCTAATTCTAATTCTTGGAATAATGGGTCGAATTGCAGTGTGTAGGCGTTTGCGCGATCTTCCGACCTGCTTCTGCCATTCAAAGGTTTTGCTTAAAGATGGAGAACTTACCCTGATAGCTTCAATAAGCAAAAAGAGCGCAAATGAAGCGCATCACTCCCGGGAAAGGCTACAAATGGCTAAACTGCAGGAACCAAAGTGCAGGACTCAAGCACTTTCCTTGTTCTACACACATTATTCCCTCTGCGCAAGGCATTGCCAGCACTAAGGGAATAATAGGGAAGCGATGAAGAATAATAGGAAGATTGTGGAATAACATATGGTAAAAAAATTAGCTCACCCTATCCTCAAGGAATAAGTAGCAACCTCGTTTTCCTTCTCCCTTCCTCTAACTTCTGTTGGGTTTCTAGACTTCAGCAGTATATAGCTACGTTATTCTTCTCTAGGAATGGATTGAATATTTTAAGTTGCACCTTGCTTTGCTGCTTACTACTTTTGCTCCCACTTCTGTTGGGTGTCTCAAAAGGATCAGGTTTCCAGAGCTAATCAGTAGCTACTCTCTTTCCTCTTCTTTCCCTCTCTCTCTAGGAATGCTATATATAATACTAGGCTCTAATCCCACAGTTGGTTGCTGCTACTCCATTCATCCCACTTCTGATAAGCCTTAAACATTGGGTCTCCAGACCTAATCGTAGCAACTCTCGTTCCATCTCCATATAGGAATGGTATGGTATTGATCATGCAAGCTCTGCTTGAGTTCTACTACTTTTCCTCCCACTGTGTTATTTCAAGTATGCATCAAAAGGATTGGGTTTACATACCTTATCGTAGCTACTCTCTTACTTCCTTCTTTCCTCCTCTAGGAATGGTATTGAATTACTAGGCTAGAGTCCCAGTTTTGTTTGCTGTCTACTCTCTTTCCTCCAACTTCTGTTGTTTTCTGATATGCATTGGGTTTCTTGCCTATCAGTAGCAAACTGTCTTTCCTCGTCTAGGAATCTTATTGATTTTGCACCTTGGCTTGCTTCTTCTCCCTTTCCTCCCAATTCAGATATGCCTCAAAGGTTTGGTTCTGTGACTATAGTAGTCAGTAAGCTACTCTCTTTCCCCTCAAGTTAATAATATCCTGCCGCTAATTTTCTAATTCTTGAATACTGGGTCGAATTGCGTGTGTAGGCCGTTCGCGAATCAGTAGCAACTCTCGTCCATCGGTACCATAATAGGAAGGGTATGGTAGTTTATCAGGGCAGCCTTGCTTTGAGTGTGCACGACGTTTGCAGCCCACTTGTTGTTATGTCAATTATGCATCCAAAAGGCGTTCGAAGTGTTTACAATACCTTCGCATAGCTACTCTCTTACTGGTTCCTGCTTGCCTCCGCTAGAAGGGTAGTGAAGGACTAGGCGCGGGGCCCAGTGTTGTTTGCTGTCGTCGTCTCTGTCCATGCCTTCCTCTCCAACTTCTGTGTTCTGATATCATTGGGTTTCTTGGCCATATCAGCGAGCACACTGTCTTTCCCGCCAGGAATTTATGATTTGGGCACCTGTGGCTGGCATTTTTCTTCCCTCCGTGCCTCCAATTCAGATATGCCTCAAAAAGGTGAGGTTCTGGACTTAGCAGGAGTCAGTAGCTACTCTCTTTTCCCCTCAATTGTATATGCTGGCGCAAATATGCTGGCATAATTTTGGAATAAAAGAGGCTGTCCATACTTGGCACAAACGTATGTAAAACCCAATTGCGGTGTGTAGTGTTTTTCGCGATCTTCCGACCTGCTTCTGCACATTCAAATGTTTTGCCATTAAAGATGGAGAACTTACCCTGATGTTCAAATGCAAAAGAGCGCAAATGAAGCGCATCACTCGCCGGAAGGCTACAAATGCTAAACTGCAGGAACCAAGTGCAGACTCAGCACTTTCCTTGTTCTACACACACATTATGCCCTCTGCGCAAGGCATGCCAGCACTAAGGGAATAATAGGGGAAGCGATGAAGAATAATAGGAGATTGTGGAAATAACATAATGGGTATAGCTCAACCCTATCCTCAAGAATAAGTAGCAACCTCGTTTTCTTCTCCCTTCCTCTAACTCTGTTGGTTTCTAGACTTCAGCAGTAATATAGCTACGTTATCTCTTTCTCTAGGATGGTATTGAATATTTTAAAGTTGCACCTTGCTTTGCTGCTTACTACCTTTGCTCCCACTCTGTTGTTGTCTCACAAAGGATCAGGTTTCAGAGCTACATCAGTAGCTACTCTCTTTCCTCCTCTTCCCCTCTCTAGATGCTATATATAATACTAGCTAGTCCCACATGTGGTTGCTGTCTAACTCCATTTCATCCCATTTCTGATAGCCCTTAAACATTGGGTCTCCAGACCTAATCAGTAGCAACTCTCGTTCCATCTCCATATAGGAATGGTATGGTATTGATCATGCAAGCCTTGGCTTGAGTTCTACTACTTTCCTCCACTTGTGTTATTTCAGGTATGCATCAAAAGGATTGGGTTTACATACCTTATCGTAGCTACCTCTCTATACTTCCTTCTTTCCTCCTCTAGGAATGGTATTGAATTACTAGGCTAGAGTCCCAGTTTTGTTTGCTGTCTACTCTCTTTCCTCCACTTCTGTTGGTTTTATGATAGCTATGCATTGGGTTCTTGACCGTACCAGTAGCAAACTGTCTTCCTCCTCTAGGAATCTTATTGATTTTGTACCTTGGCATGCTTGTTCTCCTTTCCTCCCAATTCTGTTGTTTCAGATATGCCTCAAAGGGATGGTGTAGTAGAGTTAATTAACCCTCGGCGCGCATGCGCAGCGAGGGTTACTGTAGTTGGTGTGTCTGTGTATCTGTGTGTCTGTTACTCTCAATCTGACTTCTCGGGTGTTTGTTCGTCTCACAAAGGATACGACCTACTTAACGGCAATGAAGGTCAGAACTTTCGAACGGTTTTTCTCTGAAACTGCTCCGTTGCAGACCTAGAGCGCGAAAAATGCAATATGCAAATACACAACGCTTACCACATGCACAGCCGGATCGATCCTCGTGCTCTGCGTACTTCGCAGGCACCAGACGATACAACGCAGGGCGTGTATCGCCTCTCGCATAATTTCTAGTAGTGTAGTTAACCCGCGTCAGACTCTGCGCGAGCTGGCAAGAGACCACCAGTAATAACCCCAGCCCATCAATTAGTTGTACGGCGCATGCGTTTACTTACGCGTGCGCGTCACAATGGGCCGAGGGTTTGCACTTCAGTGCTTTTCATTGGGTCTTTCTGTCTGTGTGTCTGTGTGTCTGTTACTCTTCATCTCACTTCTCGAGTGTTCTTCGTCTCACAAAGGATACCACCTACCGAACGGGCAATGAAGGTGAGAACTTTCGAACGGTTTTCTCTGAAAACGCTCCGTTGCAAAGCTAGAGCGCTTCCACTACAATGCGCTGCGGAAAATGCGCTGCGGAAAATGCGCATGCGCTTATATTTAGCACAGGACCGGGTCTGCTTGCTCTGTGTATTTTGAAGGCACAAGAAGTCACAACGAAGGGCATGTATCGACTTTCGACTCTCGCATGCTAATCTACTACTGTAGCTAGCCCGTGTCAGACTCTCTGCGAGCTATATACTAGCGGGAGACCGTGAGTAAACGCATACTAATATACCGCGCATGCGCAGTTCGCCGAGGGTTTGCACTTCAGTGCTTTTCATTACATACATGTATAACTGGATAGGTCTATTTATAGTCAGTTCTGTAGTCATCTTGTCTTCACTCTGTGATGCACCTTATCACTGTCACTCTGATCTATACAGGATCTGAGATCACCTACCCCATGCTCTCTTGTACCATCTAGAACATAATGGCACCTTCTGTATAAGTGCATGCTCTAACTTGTATGATCAGTGATTAATTGGCGAGCGGGAGCGAGCTAACCTAGTGGTACGAACGGCGCGGATTTTGTCTACGACCGTACGTCGTCCAACTGCGCATGCTCCAGGATTACGCGCTTCGTTTTATCCGAAAGAATTTCAAAATTTCACATGCTGCGTGCCTGTGGAGGCCTGTGATGTCGTGCGTATACATGTCATACTAGTAGGCGAATGCATGACATTTTTGGCGAGCGGGAGCGAGCACACAATGACTCTATCTGCACGAGCCATCCTACAACTTGCACCTTAGAATCACGAAGATTGGAAGGAGGTATAGACAGCCTCGGTTTGGTATCGAAGAGCGCAGCGAATGCCAACGAGAGTTGTTTTGGCTGGCTATATTTCGCATCGATATGACAGCTAGGCAGAGTGTAAAAGGCAGAGTGTTCCCTATCACGAAAGCGACGCTGATACAAACGAGCCTCTCTGCTCAGGAGTCTCACGGGCACGATGTTCTCTTTCCCACTCTCTTCGACGACGAAGGGCATCTTCCCCGGACTATATGCACATGTATATGCACGACATCAGAGAGCATGTGAAATTTTGAAATCCTTTCGGATAAAAAGAAGCGCGTAATCCTGGAGCATGCGCAGTTGGACGACGTACGGTCGTAGATAAATATAGTTCGTACCACTAGGTTAGCTCGCTCCCGCTCGCCAATTGTAGTCCGGGGCAGATGCCCTTCGTCGTCGAAGAAAGTGGGAAAGAGAGCATCGTACCCGTGAGACTCCTGAGCAGAGAGGCTGGTTTGTATCAGCGTTGCTTTCGTGATAGGGCCTAGGAACGCGCAAATTTGTACCCGCTATCTAGCTGTCATAACGATGCGAAATATAGGCAACCAAACAACTCTCGTCTATTTGCAGCCATTCTTCGATTCCAATCTTCGTGATTCTAAGGTTCAAGTTGTAGGATGGCTCGTGCAGATGAGTTATTGTGTGCTCGGAAGAGAGCTTACAAATGGGGTCTAATCGTATGAGTCACTCTTGTATGTGCACATAACAGTGAGATACATTGCACAGGACCAAGTAGGCCGAAACAACCTTTTAGACCCGAGCGCAGTAGACAATTCGAGTCGAGTCAAAAACAGTCAGACGACAGCGCGAATCAGGCATAATCCGGCAATCTGATTGGTCTTGCAGGAATAGGCAATGCACCAAGCCTTCTCCCGCGCGCAGATTGAGAAAGCGTGGCTCCGCGAGGTTACGCGCGCGAACTGCACGGGAGGGGGCGGGGCGTGATCGCCGAGCATGCGCAGTTCGGCGACGCTCGACGTACGTACGGTGACAAAACCTGTTCGCGTTCACCTTGCCGCCAGAAGTGCACTAGTCAAAACTGTTAAGGCAAGGTTGCGTCATAATTGAAATATCGCGAATATTTGTGGGCGGTGGATGTACTAGTAGGCGAATGCATGGCATTTTTGGCGAGCGGAAGCGAGCTTACAACTAATCGTATGAGTCACTCTTGTGTGTGCACAAAACAGTGAGATACATTGCACAGGGCCAAGTAAGCCTTTTAGACCCGAGCGCAGTAGACAATTCGAGTCGAGTCAAAAACAGTCAGACGACAGCGCGAATCAGGCATAATCCGGCAATCTCGAAAAATCTCTCGCTGGACTGTGCAGCAATTCTCGATAGCCTCGGAGGTGTTCGAGTCTGCCGTGTTGCGTTTCCTATCGATTCAGGCAACATATGAAAATTTTGAAATCCCTTTCGAAGCGCGTAATGCTTGAGCATGCGCAGTTGGACGACGTACAGTGACATATATAATTATATATATAGAAAAATCGCGCCGTTCGGACAACTAGGTTAGCTCGCTTCCGCTCGCCAATAAATATACGCTATATATGCCGCGCGTGCGTTGAATACGTTCGTGCGGTTCCATGAGTTTTTCTAGTAAAGACGGTTTATTCAAACAACAAACCTCTCATTCTTGCCTTTTCCTTGGCCTGGGCTCCCGCAATAGCGGCGGGAAGAGAGGGTTCTTGCTCGCGCTGCGTTACGCGCGCACACTCTACGCGTAAGCGCGCACATTGGGACCCGCGTGATTGCATTTCCGTGGTCAAAGGAACGCCGCGTACTTTGCTTATGTGACATGCAGCTAAGTACGTAAGTGGGCGTTGGACGCGCTCGCAAAGCGGATAAATA